CAGGCCCATCTCAGCATCCTCATTTCAGCTGAGTGGAGCTGCCTTTCATGGTTCTTGCAGATGGGCCAGCACTCACTGCCGTAGAGCATTGTAGGCCTTACCACGGTACACCTTGCCCTTGAGCGTTCTCGAGCACCGCCGGTCGCACAGGATGCCAGTGGACTCCCTCCATTTCATCCAGGCTGCGTTGATTCGGGCCTTCACCGCCTGGTCCACGCTGCCATCAGCTGGTGCTCCCCAGGTACTGGAAGTCCTCGACCCTTTCGATGCTCTCGCCATGGCGGTCTACGATGGGTTCGGTACACTCTTCGGAGCTCAGGAACTTGGTCTTCTTTACGTTCAGCCGGAGTCCATTCTCAGCGAGCACATCCTGCCACCGCTGCACCTTGTCCTGGAGTTCTTCCCTGCTGTCCGCTATCAGGGCGATGTCGTCAGCGTAGAGGATGGTTTTCAGTGGTCCCTCCATGAGTTCTTTTGCCATGACATCTAGAGTCAGGAGGAAGAGGAACGGGCTGAGGGCTGATCCTTGGTGTACCCCAACCGTGATGTTTACCTCCTTCGTCAAGCCGTGCGGGGTGCGTACAGCTGCTTTAGCCCCATCGTACATGTCCTTCACTATGGAGATGAGGTGCTCCGGAACGTTACGTTCTCTAAGCGCTCTCCAGAGTACAGGCCGAGGCAGGCGGTCGAATGCCTTCTCAAGGTCCAGGAAGGCTAGGTAGCAGGGTCGCCGCTTCTCTCGGTACTTCTCCATCAGCTGTCTGGCGATGAAGATGGCATCAGTGGTGGACCTTTCGGGCATGAAGCCGAACTGTTCCTGCGAGATAGGGACAAGTTCCCTCAGCCTAGTGTTGACCAGGCGCTCGTACAGCTTCATGGTATGGGGAGTCAACTTGATGCCGCGGTTGGAGCACTCCGTCGCGTCCCCTTTCTTTTGAAGATGGGGACGATTGTGCTGCTCCTCCACGCATCCGGCATCCTTCCTTCAGCCGTTACGTTTTAGGAAGTCTGTGAGCCAACTCACCCCATGCTCTCCCAGGGCCTTCCATGCCTCTATCGGTACCCCGTCTGGACCCACTGCTTTCCCAACTTTCATTCTCCCTAGCTCCCGGCGGACTTCATCCTCCGTCCAGGGAGTGATGGCGTCGCCTCTATCTGTGGGCTATCCTTGCGAGGGAATTCTTCGTTCAGAAGTCCCTCGAAGTATTCTTCCCACCTCTTCTGACTTCGGCTGGTTTCCTGAGAATGGCCCCGTTGCTGCTCTTCACAGTCTTTACGACCCTGATGTCCTGAGCAGCGCGATGCCGAGCTTTAGCCAGGCGGAAGACGAACTTGTCCCCTTCTCGGCCTTCCAGCTTGTCGTACAGGGCGTCCATTTCCGTATTCTTGGCCTTAGCAACGGCTGCCTTGGCGAGTCGCTTGCAGCTCTTGTAGGCAGCGTAGTCTTCTGGGCTCCTTGTCTTTTGCCAGCGTTTATATGCTTCCTTCTTCTGCTTGACGATCCCCTGGACTTCCTCGTTCCAGAACCAGGCTGCCTTGTCTCCTCTGATACCACCGCGCGTCTCTCCCAGGACTTCCTTTTGCACACTGTAGGATGACCTCTACTGCGTAGGTCCAGGTGTCCTGGACTGGCCCATGTGGGTCTGGGAGCCCAGCCTCCAGTATTCTTCGGCCGAGGCTATCCTTTTCTACCTGCCCATTTTCCACCACCGAATTCTCCGCTCTGCTCTCACCCTCGTCTTCTTGGGGAGGTCTATGGCGATGTCTGCCAGGAGAGGCCTGTGCTGAGGGCCAAGCTCTCTCAGGCTAGCACCTTGATATCCTTGACGGTTTTGAGAGACGATCTTCTCACCAGGACATGGTCTATTTCCGTTTGTCTCCCTCCACTGCTGTAGGTTATCTTCTGGGTCCTCCTTTTCGCGAAGAAGGTGCTGCAGATTGCTAAGTCGTGGCTGTGGCCAGGTCAAGGATCCGTTCTCAGCGTTCTTTGCCCCCTATTCCTTGACCTCCCTGCACCCTAGGCAACTTTGTCACTTCCCACATGGCCATTCAGGTCCCCAGCTACAGTGAGGCAGTCCACTTCCGGAACCGATCTTATGGCCTCGTCCAGGGTCAGGTAGAACTCATCCTTTTCTCCTCGGAGCAACCGGATTGTGGTGCGTACACGGTCAGTACGGTCCAGTACCCCTCCTTCGTGTCCATTCTCACTCCCATGATCCGATCACTGATCCTGTTCACAGTGGAGACGCAGTCCTTGAGGGATTGTGCTTTGTCTGCTCCATTGTAGAAGAGTTTGACACCTTCTCCAATCTCGCGGGCCTTCGCACCCTTCCATCGCGTTTCCTGAAGGCATAGGACTTGGATATTCCTGCGTCTCATGAGGTCGGCAACCTCACGAGACTTCCCGGTAAGCGACCCCACGTTCAGGGTCCCAATTCGAACTAGCTTCTTTGGCCGAGGTCGTTCACCCCTCGGTAGCCCTCGCATACTGACCACAGAACTCGGGCGAGGGTTCTGCGCGCCACTTCCGGGTGACGTCCTAGCTTTTACACTGATACTTTTGCGACTTGTCATGATTGTTGTGACGGGTTCCTCCATCAGCCGGCCTGTCAACCTGGGCCTGACGCTGGTATCGTCCCCATTTTTGCAATTTTTGCAAGGCATGGTTTGTGCCTCGGCAGGGATCGAACTTGTGGCTGTGGCCAAGTCGTTCACGTTCACATTGAGAAACTCCCCTTCCTATTCCGGGGAGACCGATTTGCTCACATTCCGTGAGCTCTGCTAAACTGGTTTGTCTGAGTAGAAGCTGATACAGGATTTGATCCCCAGACTTCGAGCGTGGTAAGCATACCACCGCGTCACTTCCACCTCCGCTGAAAAAAAACCGTGTGTTTTATTGAAAGAAATTTCAGGCTTGAGGTGGAACGGGTGAGGAGATATTGCTGGGCCGTATACCATAAGGCGACTATAAGTTACGGCAGAGTAGTAGCAGTGTCGCCATCTATCGTCTTGCACTCGTCTGTGGCATGACCTCAGTTAATTGCATAGGCTAGGCGCTATTCTCTCGCCAGCAGCCTTCAAAATGGAGCTTATGTAGCAGTATCATCGTGAAAGCATCCCCTCTTGCCTTTTTTCAGTTGGAATAGTTAGCGCTCACCCGTCACCAGTGTCCCTATCACAGAACCTTCATGATTTGCTAGTAAAAAAAGCTCCGTATCCTGAAGACAGACAGTAGCTGCGACACATATTATCAATTCCTGTTAACTGGTACCGCTTTCTGTCACCTTCCATCAATGTTCCCGTATCACTGTATTACCTCTTTAAAGCGCCAGCTTCATACTGCTGCTGGGTGCATCTGTGTGGCTATTAGCTTTCTTCATCACAACAGTGAGAAGGTGTGTTGCCGTATATACTCCCTTTCTTCGCTTCCAACTCGTACGGCGACGGATCAGGATGGTTCCTATCTTAAACGTTTTGGGAAAATTTTCTTTTTTTCTTCTCTATTCAGTTACTTAACACATTATCCTTGATGAGCCTTCAATCGGAGTGCGTGCCAACAAAGTAGTTACGAAAAAAAAAACGTTTCGATAACGGAGCAGAGCTCAAAGGGAGCTACAAACCCGTTCGCCTCCCATTCAGCGGAAATCTACTGTTGGAGATTTTTTCGGTTACTCAGTAAATGGTAGCTAAAACCGAGGGCAAGCAATGCTTTTATCGCTACTGTTCTGCGATTTCATGTTGATTTTTTCCCGCGCGCTGATAGTACTAACTTCTATTCTCGTAGTAACTTCATGGCTTTTTCTCTTTCTTAGGTACCGCAGGAAGTACAGTCGTGATCCCTCAGACTGGCCATCCGTAATTGCGTACTTCACTGGGACGCGACGGCGGCTGCAGTAGGAGTGGCGATCGATGCTGCATGATCAGCTGATTTCAGCGATTAATTTTTCTATTTTGCCTGTTATTCTGCTAACTAGAAGGAAAAGTGAGTTCATATTATTTACTCTAATTTGAGGTTTTATTGTATATTTTGCTTTCAGTCGCTATTTGACTGCAGTGACGGTGTTTTTACCCACTTTTTGATTTTGTTTAGGTTTTTTTGTTTGTGCTTTGAATGTTGGACTGTTCTCCATGGCAGTGTCGTTATGTGTCCTCATTAGTACAAAAAAACCTAAACAAAATCAAAAAGTGGGTAAAAACACCGTCACTGCAGTCAAATAGCGACTGAAAGCAAAATATACAATAAAACCTCAAATTAGAGTAAATAATATGAACTCACTTTTCCTTCTAGTTAGCAGAATAACAGGCAAAATAGAAAAATTAATCGCTGAAATCAGCTGATCATGCAGCATCGATCGCCACTCCTACTGCAGCCGCCGTCGCGTCCCAGTGAAGTACGCAATTACGGATGGCCAGTCTGAGGGATCACGACTGTAGCAAAGTTTGATTGGGGGTAATTCAGTGAAGAGCTTCACCTAGTTGTTCAAATGGATATTGTTCTTGTGTTAGAACTGCCGAGGTGAGCATTTTGCGCGTGCAACTAAATAAATTCCTAACCACAGGCAGTGGTTAGCAGGGGCGACGTACCCTCCACCGTGCGCTACAATTTCCAATTTCCTTTCCGTATAGCTTCCCATCAATATCTACATACGCAGGTGGAACTGTGTCAGTCAGGTACACACGAAGACTGGTAAATATAGAACGCAATATTTTGTCAGAAAGCGGATCCAAAGTGGGTGCTATTTTCCAGTAGGATGCTTCCATAAGCTCAGCTGTCTACTCGACATATCAGATTTCCCTTTGGTCTCTTTCCGACAGTTTTCGTCAGTGATCGGCATGAGGATTGTGATCTTAGCATGTTTTGATAAGAGCGCAAATATAACCGGCTGAATATTGTGATTATTACAAAACTCAGGGGTGCACAGGATTTATTCCACAAGGAAGACGTAGTCAATCCTTCAGTCTGTACTACAGGGATTCTGTAGTAAATTAGAACTAGAATTTCATTTCCGCCTCCATGTGATTAGACGTTTGCATTGCGTACCGTCAATGTAAGCACTTTTGTAAATCGGCGAACTTCTGACGATTTGTCGCAGCCAGGAAGATACCTTGAAAACGATACGTTTATTCATTGTCATTCTAGGTTTCGAATCGCGCAATCGTGATGCGCTGCACTGCTAATCGCTGGAGTGGCGACCGAAAATTCAGTCATTTTCAAAGGAGAATTTCTTTCAAGCATTTCAGCTCTCCGCCGATTAGTAGTTATTTGGGAAGCTGATTTGGGAATTGTGTGGGTCGCGAAGTATAAACAGGACTCAACAAATATCGTTGTTCAATAGACGGCAAACGCAGATTTCACGGCGTTGGTTTGACAAGGGTAGACATAGAGCAGGGCACCGGCATTCGCAACCACCACGAACATTTGTTTATTTTAAACGACCAGAAAAAAATTTGTTCCAAGGCACGCTCCGCTCTCGAAATATCAGTTATAACTCAGAATCTCATGATAATGTGGTAATTAACACGGTAGGCAAGAAAATAGCAAAAGGCCTTCGCTCTTTCTCCTTATCACCACGCTATCGCAATTCGAAATGAAGAGAGCTGGTGGTGGATCAGAAAAGAGTTGGGCGTTGTCGTGGCAAATGGGCGGGGCCGTGGTTCCAACGCGAGAGAGCGGCGCGCTCCTCATGTGTTTTTGAGCTGCGAAAGTAGAAAAAAAATCCCATGCTCGCAGAAAGGACTGCCTTGTACAATGTAGGCGTCTGAACAACAAATGAATGCGGAACGTGTCTTTAGGTCTAGGCGCATTAGGAGATCTGGGCTACCCACACCCCAGGACCCCGCACCTTACACCCCAAGCGCAGGTGAAATTCCCCTTCTTTTGGCTCACAATGGCTTCTCCTTGCTTTCGAGCACTGCTGCGAGATACGGCGTCGTGCTATGTCAACCTCGAGATTCTTGGAGTTCTTGAAAAAGCTCTTCCATATTAGTCCTACGTAGTACCTTGTCGCAGTCACTGTTTGTAAGACCGAAGGAGAAAGACAAAGTTACACCATTCGACGTGGCTGAAGTGTATTGTCGATTTCCGAGCAAACCAGCGTATTCATCAATCTGAAAGAAACTGACAGGGTGAAATACTTGGAATGCAAGGAATCGGGTGTTTTGTGGACCTTTGTTTTGCTCCAGTAGTTCCAGTATTCCGCAACATCGTTCGGATTGAATACAAAACGTGTATTCAAGGTAATGCTTAGATTTTCATTTCCTTTGCCAGTAACTGCTGGTTGTGGTACTGCTTGAGCAATCGATGTCTGAAAAATTCACCGAGCTGTTCGAGATTTTAGATTTTCTTGGCATTGTTTGGCTACTACTGCTCCACTTTTCAAAATTTAGACTGTATTTTGTCGCAATTCCTTGCTGCAGTGAAACTATATGGAATTTCATCACTAGGTGTTATTTTACCCGTAAGGACAATTTCCGCGACAAAGTATTACATGTAGTCAGCGTTCAGTTATGGACGAGCCGCCGATAACTGACTTTGCAGTTAAGAAAGAAGAAAGGAAAGACAGTGGTAACGTCCCGAACGGCACCCCACCTGATAGTCACGCAGTCTCAATGTACCGATCCTGCGGCCTCTGAACAAACCTTAGCTCATAAATCTTTCTCAGCATCCTCCAGTACTTAATGCCGTCTCAAATCAAGGGAAAAACGAAAAACAAAAATAATGAAGGGAAAATAGCCTTTAAAAACCCTGTCTATGCGAGTAGGACTACGGTAAGCAATGCAGAACGAGCTTTTGCACCAAACTGATGGTGTCGCTGCTGAATTTAATCAGCGCCCAACCCCATCTTGTCCTACGAAGTGTACTGATTCACTTACTGTTTTCAAAACGCATCCAGGGAAAGCAAAAGAACTCGCAAGCTCGCAGTGTGTCGGCAAGCCGGTATTCTCATTGACAAGCATGGGAAATCGCCTTACGGCGTTCCATGCAACACAATGCCCACGCGTAATTCGCCCGGAAGCCGTTAATCCTGCAGATTGAAAAGGACAGAGGGCGCAGCAGTCTATGACCTCTCTATTTCGCCGCATCGTATGACCAAAGTGCTGCGTTCGCCGCGTTCCGTTTCTCGGAATTGATCGTCGGAACTGTCTTTAAGTCAAACCAGATCTGCTTGATTCATTCCCGCCTGGCACCACAGACGCTGGCGCTGAATTTCAAAAAGCAGGGCAGTTAAAGGTCAATAATGCTTTATTATTTGTTTGTTAGTGCTCTACGCTTACATGTATGGACGGTGCCGTCGTTGTAGTTGTCGGCGGTGCTCCAGGGTAGCACACCACAGGTGCAGATACGTAGCGCGGCGAACTGGACACGATTACGGTCATCCACTTTCTCACCTTGAGAATCATTAAGTTTTGAAAAAAACATTAATAACATATTTTATAGATTCCCTAGTAACCTCTGCAATGAAAAATGATCCTGTCTGAGGTTTTTAGGTAGAACTGTGTTACACAACACTTTCGGGGTAACCGGCTGTCACAGAAATGCCGAATGCAAACATTTGCTACCAACATCTGTGTGAAAGCGGGTTACTCCGCTTTTAGGGTGAAACCGTGGCTCTAAAAGAAGACCATCCTGTCGGAAGGTCTGGAAGTATCGAATAAAACAGTTCTGCCTTGAAGCCTATGGCGGCAGAATAACTTCTACATTGATGACGGAATTCACAACACGCTCTCAATGTGTAGAGTGGGCGCAAATTATAGCAATTTAGAAGAATCTTAGGAGGCAAGTTCAGCAGAAACGTGAACTTGCGTCATTAGAGACTAATTTTTTTGGGTGGACGAAAAACCGTACAAACCGCAATAAAATCCAAATTGCATTTGCACGTCCTCCGTTGGGGAATCCTCGCGGGAAGTCCTATAACGCTAAGAAAAGTATTTGACGCTTGTTTTTTCCTGACTCACGGACGCTATTCAGTTCGTTGGGAGAGAGGGAGGGTCGTATCTTGTCTTTGCGGAAAATTTGCGTTTCAGGAGGTAATTGGGGGATGAGGAAGGGGGGGGGGTGCCGTAGAATTTCGTAGCGGTAGGACGCACCCTGCTTGTAATTCTGAAATAGTGGTCAGGGGATCGAAATACCCCGGAAATGTAATTTTTTTGGAACAGTTCGTTTGGAGTGTCGCAGACGTTTCGTCATCATCGTTCCAATATCCCGCAAGGAACATCGGCGCAGGACCTGAGCTTGTTAAGGAGGCGTCTGTCGCGGCAATCCTCGTTAAACTCAGGCTTCGTAGCGAGCGATCTTCATATCGTTCAGCTTTCTGCGCTCTTCTTTGAAGTCCACAAATTCCTGTCCTGTCCGGACTATTGATCGAGCAGATTTAGATGGAGAGAGAGAAAGAGAGAGAGAGAGAAAAGAGAGAGAGAGAGAGCCCTGAGACAGACTTTTGTACCGGATTCCTCCCGAATGCCTTGCCACGACAGCTGACTTGGATCTATAACGCTCGGTGCTTGTCCCACCAGGAAACAATTTTCCTTGACCCTGAAGAGACGAGACTTCAAGCATTCACGGCGCATTCACGTCCATTTCTCTTTGGAATTTTCTCAAGGGGGCAGTCCGCGTTAACAAATTGTCCAGTCTCCTTCTCACAAGGTATCTTGGGTTTGCAACCGGCAACGAGCTGCCCTTTTCGGAGCGTGGGGTGGACCAGAAGCGGCTGCAAAAAGCCTACCGCGTAGGCCCATCCAGGTCCATGTTGCCCGCCTAATCGTGATGAAACCGTTGTGCTCTTGCAGGTCGTTTTCTGGTCTCTCCCCCAACACTCTTCAAGTTATCCTCTTGCCTCTTGCAGATGACATTATGCTCGCCCATTGATCACGATCAACTTCAAAGAAGAGGAAATCATTCATTCAAACTGGTTTCTTATTTCCCTTCGAAGGAGAAGCTGGCACCGACACTTTATGAACTTGATCGCCTACAAACTGCCGACGCTAAATTCATAGCCAGCTTACGAGTGGACAAATAGGAGTGCTGCGGAAGAGATCGCGAACTTTTCTGATGTTGTCCTGAGTGACAAAAAATGACCTCGCACGTAATGCTCGATTAGGGGGAGGGGGAGGGCGGGTACCTAGCTAAGTATACGGATGGTCTCATAACCGATAGCTCCCTCCATTTTCAAACCTCTTAGACATATTGGACCGGAACCCTGTGTTGGGTCACACATCGATAGGTTGTGATGAAAGTACGACTTCGCCACTCGCATGAACTGCTGGAGCACTATGTTCCATGATGACTCACGATTCAGAAATACTGCAGTACTCAAAAGACGTAAGCGCACGCAATCGCGATACCATTGCGCCCACCCGGTGTTATTCAATCAAAAAACTGTGGGTAACGTTATCCACGCAATACCTTTGTACAGTCACTGTTCAGGAGGGTAAAAGCGAAGGCGAAATGGCCTCCGATGTTTGCTCCTCTCAGATCAACTAGATCTCCAAGCTGTTTAGAGTATTCCTCGATCTGGAACACATTTTGAAAAGTCGGTAAACGTATGTAAACAGAAAAATCGGTTGTTCATTACTTACCTTTGTGCTATTCCAGGAATCCATGTACTCTTTGAATTTACTCTCATCGTATTCAGCATCGGTGATTACTGTAACGTAGGATGTATCGTGGCCTCTTCCAGGATCTGGAACTGGTGGTACTGGTGAAGAGGCCTGGAAAGGAATTTCGTTCTTCAAAATTCTCCATGTCGAAATGAAAC